AATTATTTATTTTGTCTTCCATCTTTTTTGCCTTTGCTCTCCAAAGAAGTTAGATGAGAATGCCTTGTGACCCTAATTATAATAACTTCAATATTTTATTCTAATTTTAAGACTGCCAGAGTTGACATAAAGGAAGACTCAAGGTAAATTAATTCAAAGGAACTGAGTGCAGAGGAACCCAATATAAGAAGAGCCTAAATTCAATCAGAGAGGTGACAGTCACAAAGATCAGGCCTTTTGGTTTACTTTTGGTTTACTTTTGTTTTTCTCTGATACAAACACCAAATTTGGATTCTGTGTTCCTTCTCCACTAGTCATTTGAAAATTGTTACCTTTGAAAAGCCCACGTGAACAAAAGCAAAAGACAAGATTAATATCATTAAGCAAAAATCTAACTGTGCTTTGGAGTTCTTATATGCTTATCCAGTGATATCATTTTATGATCACAGGTTACTTAAGATGCCCTAATAATGTTTGTTAAATTAAGTTGAATATACTTTTTTCCATTTTACTTGTTCTTCTGAGGTGGCTGTACCCATATCTCGGAAGAAAAAAAAAAAGTGAAGATTTAGTATACTAACTGCTTTCTGCATACATAACCCACCACAGCCATGTTGGAGCAAGGCTGTTTTTTTAAACCTCAGTCACACTGGTCATTTTCATAAGCTGATCAGTAAAAAGTGTATTTTTCTTGGTGTTTCCATGGGTCATTCACTAAGCAATAACACCATCAGGAGTTACTGATCCCAAGGGAATAGCAGCTTAATTACATAGAAATTTAAAAATGAGAGTAGTGTCGCATGAGTACAGATAAAGAGACTATCCTATCTTCGGGTGGTTTATTATTACGTTTAATACATCAGATGGTCTTTTTGGTTTGTGTAGATTTTAATTACTAAGTAAGTCTGGTAAAATATGAATTATTGTATTAACACAAGTGATAAAAGGTTTACATGGTTACAATCTGTAGGTGTAATGTACATAATGCAAGATTAATAGTATCAAGCAATTAAACTGAAGTTAAAAGAAGGTTTAATGCTACCCTTAAGTGTAACTTAAACTCTCGCTAAATATTTTTAACTGCAATAAAAGCATGTTAATTTTAGGAGTGACTTCTTTACAAGACCTTATTTCTTAGAGTACGTTTTCCTTTCTGAGAATACAAAAGCACACTGCAATACTTTTCTGCTGGTAACTCATCCCGTAAAGAATTTTTTTTCTTGGCTTTTAAGCTCAATGAAGAAAGCCCAAAATAGCACAGGAAGTTTTGTGTGGTGGATATACGTATGAACTAAATCTAGTTGGGATAAAAGTGATTAAATTACTGATAAGATCATTGTTGGTCCCAAAGCATTCCATTAGTCATACCAGGACTTCTTAAATATTTTGAGAATTTGGCCTTAGTTTTCCTGTAAGTGCATATTAAATAGAGGAAACTATATTTTGCTTTAATTTAATATCCTTACATGTACAACCCACTAAGAGTCTTACATATTGTGCCCAGTCGCTCAGTCGTGTCCAGCTCTTTGTAATCCCATGGACTGTAGCCTGCCAGACTCCTCTGTCCATGGAATTTTCCAGGCGAGAATACTGGAGCGGGTTGCATTTCCTACTCCAGGTAATCTCCCCACCCCTGGGATCGCAGCCGTGTCTGCTGCATTGACAGGCAGACCTTTACCCCTGCCACCACCTGGGAAGTGGCCTGGCCAAAATGGTCCTTTGGACTTTTCAAAACATCATCCAGAAAAACCGAACAAGTTTTTTGGCCAACCTGATGAAAGAAACATGCTAGGCATCTACTAATTAATTCTTTCCTTCTGTGTTTCTGGGTTTCCCCCACTTCCTGAATTATTTTTATGCTGCCACTGACAAGATCGACACCTATATTTCCAACTTAGCTACACCTTTGCTTCTAAGTTGCGTGACAGTTGACATCACAGTGAGTTTAACAAAGATCTTGGTGAACATGTAAAACACTAAGCAAAATGTTCTCTCTCTCTCTCACACACGCGCACACACACACACACACACACACGCACAGAATATGGTCCTTGCCCCGGAATTATTTACTAGTGTACTCGGCAAGGTGAAACTTAAACGATAAAGCAATGTAAAACACTTGTAAAGCGGCACATCACAGATCCCACATTAAGTATGGGAGCACAGAGGACCTGTGTGCTGTGGTTTGGCAGGCGTGTTGTATTCACTGTCCATTGCTGGGTGTCTGAGCACCCCGCCTGACCGCACTGCGGTGGCGGCTGCCCACATGTGCCGCTGCAGAGGGGTTCCGAAGCTAGGCTAGCGCAACCCAGAACGGCAGGCATGTTGCAAGACAGGAGGTTTGGGCAATAACTGAGCATTTTGTTACAAAAATAGTAAGACTATATATTATTTCTGAGAAGTAGGCTCCTTTGTCTTCTCTGCATTACCCGTGATGAAACCAAAGATGTGATTGTCCCTGAGAAAATGAGAGGAATTTGAACTTTAAGGAAGAGGGGGAAAGATAGCATTGCATTTTTGTGTCGTGTATTAACCTTTGTTAGTTCTTTTTTTTTTTTGACAAATGATGTTTTTTGTAATATGATACATCACCTTTTTTTCAAAAGGCATTTTACTTTCAGTAGGAGATAACAGGAAAACCACACAGAAACAAAGGTCCCTCCACATAAGGCCTCACAGAAGCAGTGTCTGGGGAAACTGCAGCAGGAGTTACCATGGGCTTGTTCAAATAAGGAAAGCGTGGAAGTCAGCTCCAGGCTGGAAGCAGGCAGGTTCAGGGCCTAGGATGACGTTGTTGGTGAGTTTATGCTGGCATCCAGATCTGAAACCAGGAGGAGTCACTTTAATGTCAGAGTATGTAATTTTCAAAGTGCCAAAGTTTACCTATCCATCAAACCAAGATAATTCTCAAGTTTATTTATTTACTTCTGTTTTCCAGTTGTACTGAGATATAATTGACAAATACAATTGTAGGTATGTAGCATATATCATTGTGATTGATGTAGGTGCATGTTGTGAAAGGGTTCCTCCATATATTTAAGTAACACAGCCCTCACCTCACATGTTTATCTTTATAATTATCATTATTTTTGGTGAGAACATTTAAGTTGTTTCTCTCTCAGCAAATTTCAGTTATACAGCACCCTGTTACCAGCCGTGGTCACCACGTTATACACTAGGTCCGCATCAGGTTTTTTCTTTGATGGATTTTTCTTCAGTTGTGCCAGTTGGATAACTGAATGACCATGTTCTAAATGATTTTAATCACTTAATTTTGCCCATACAGTTATCAGTTTAAAGGTCCTTTTAACAGCTTTAAATGGTTTAACAGGTTTAAATGGTTTAATCCCGGCGTTTTTTGCTTTGCCCATTCTTTGCCCATTGGTTCCACCAACACTCTTTACAAAAGCAATTAATTATTTTTAATTAAGAAGAGCAACCTGTGTAATTTAGGGATATTTTGGTACTTCTTAAAATAGTAAATATTAGCATTTGCAATTTAAAAGAATTAGAAGTGTGTGTAGAAGTAATGTTTTATTCTAAGCCATATAAATATAGGCATACTAGACAAAATACATATATGTATTTTGTGTTAGCAACCTTTTATATTAGTAGTGGGGTAAGAATTAAAAGGTAGATAAAAATTGTAAGCAATTCTGTAACATTTTTTAAATGCTACTGTCACTTAGGCATTAAATTTTCTTCCTGAAAAAACTGAGTAACATAATTTAAGATGTAGTTGAAAATATAATTTAATTTTTCTGTTGATTAATTTGGTAATATGAATGTAGGAATTCAAGTATTTGATCATATGGTTCTTAATAAACTGTGATACGTATGTGTTATTATACACTATTTTGTCACAGCTTTTTGATTCCTCCTTAAATGTAATACTCCCTGAAAAAAGTAGTATCTGATTTTTTTTTTTTTGGCCTCACTTTAACCTCACAGATGGTTATATTTGGTTTTGAATTTTGCAAAGAGGTAATATCTCTGAACTAATTTTTAGAGAATGTCCCCTATTCTGTGCTATTTCTTGGTACTAGAAATTTAGAATTTTTGAGTCTTTGTTGCATGATAGAATCACATAGATTTCTAGCTGAAGTTCCTAGAAAAAGGCTCGAGTAAAGGGATTATAGCCATGTATATAAAATTAGAAGTAAATGATAAAAATATATCAAGTGAATTGTTTTAATTTTCTTATAAGAATTAGATATAAATGGCTTAGCATTTGCTCAAAGTCTGAAGTGTTACTATTTATGGTATATAATTATAGACAAACCCTGTTTAATATTCTTGTTAGCTTCTGTGTTTGCTCTGTAGCATCCGTGTCCCTTCTCCTGGTCCTGGCCATAGAAGTGACTGTGTTTTGAAATAATACCCCTAGAGAGAGAACCTCGTTGATAAGTTCTTCTGAAGTTAAAAATCAAGTATCATTGTATGTTTCATTTGAAATAACTGTCTACGCTTGACAAAAAAATCTTTTTTTTTTCACATTTACTTTTAAAATGAATACTTTTACATAGGAGTGAAATGTCAGAATGCAGTTTTTTGTTTGACTGTAGTAATTTGTCATATGACCATTTGCAAGAGTCTAGTTAACATAAAAGGTCAGTAGTGATACAAAATTTTGGAACATTATTATTTAATTCATAACCTTACAAATGAAGTCACTATCAGACTACATTCATTTTTATCCTTGCCTTTTTGAGATTTATGATTTCTAATGCACATGAAAGAGTTCTACCCTTTTCAAATATTGTACTTGTGTTGTATACCTATAGGAATAAAGTTTAACGATTGTGGCCTCATTATAAAATTACAAAATGCATTTGAAAGTCTAAAACTTGGACTTTACCGTATTATGTTTTTACGTGTAATATTTGCTCAGTGTGATGAGTTAAAAATTATGATTTTTTCACAGTTGCAGGAGAAGATGATTCCTCTTTATGTTGCTCTCACAAGTACTGTTCCCTGAGTTTGGCTTTTGTTTCCCGCAGACGGTGGGTGCGGCTGCTGTTTGGCCGAGAGTTCCCGCTGCAGGACCTCCTGGTGGTCTGGGACGCCCTGTTTGCCGATGGCCTCACCCTGACTTTGGTTGACTACGTCTTCGTGGCCATGTTGCTCTACATCCGAGATGCTTGTAAGTGCTAATGCCCGTGCCAACATTCAATTCGGTGGTCCTGATTTTTTAAACTGTGTCTCTTAAATGCACTTTATCTTTTATTTGGAATCACCATACCTAGATTTTTATCATAGGCAGTACATTGGAAGTTTCAGAGGAACAACCTAAATATATTTTTTGTGAGTTAACATATATGTATCAGATGTGGGTAATTTTATCCTGAGAGAATTGGAATATTCTTCACAACCATTTTTCTAAAGACTTTCCTCCTGCTTTGATCTCGTCATTACACACATTTGTGAAGCATACATAGAAAAAGCCAGTGTTTCAGATATGTTTAGAGCTCCACCTTCTGACAGGTAGGGAATATTCAAGAATATTTAGCAGGAGATGAGAGCTGTTTTTCTGGTATCAATAACTTGCCAATAAAAAATAAATATTGCATTTAAAGCTACTCTAACTTCTTTAGTTAAATTTTGACTAGACGTATTNTTAAAAATTAATTTCATAAAACTTGGCAATTTGGGACGGCTAAAGCCCTTGTTCATTTTTAAGACCTTATAGAACACATAGACACAAGTGAAAAAATGTAGGGGTAATGAAGTTGTTTATTTAAATATGAAGTCCTAGTTATTTTAATTTGCTGGTTTAAATCCATAACAGTAGGTGAGATTTCCTAAAAATAGGATGCCTATTTATGAAGCATTTAAGGGGCACTGCCCCTGTCCTTATGAAGTTTACCAACTAGTAGGAAACAGTAGTAGGACTAGTAATTGTAGGAACTAGTAGGACAAAGTCTAGTAGAACATGGTTAATTTCAGACTAATGCTTCCGGGCAGCAGCAGGAGAGTTCAGGAGAGGCGCCAAGCTCCCCTCCGGGCAGGCTGTGTGACTGGAGAAAATGCTGTAGACGCAGGTGAGTGAAATGAGGTCTGCAGCATGAACGAAGAGCTTGGAAGAGACCGCTTAGTGGGGGGTTGTGTGTGCGTGTTTCCACAAGCTGCCTGGTCTCCTGAGAGTTGTGAGGGTGAAGGGGTCAAGAACGAGAGCCTGACGAGAATCCTTACCCTGGAGGTGGCAGGCAGCCACTGAAAGGGGTGGGCAACGGTGTGGGTGGTTTCAGGCTCCTCTGACTGCAGGGTGGAACGGACCAGAGGCAGGCAGGGCTGGAGCCAGGAGGTCGGATGAAAGGTTACGACCATGGCCCAGTGGGGATGGTGAACTAAAGAGATCTTCAGAACTGAAGCCAGCATGTCTTGGTGATTAAACCAGATGGGTGAGGCGGAACAGGAAGTGCGCAGTGAGCCCCGGCTCGAGAGCCGAGCAGGCGGGTTGTCTGTCTGACCCAGAAGGGAAAGACGAGGATTAGCAGGTTTTCGGAATGGGTAGGACTGTGCTTTGGCTATGCTGAATTTGAGAGATCTGTAAGAAATCAGGGCTTTCTAGGTGATGCTAGTAGTAAAGAACCTGCCTGCAAATGCAGGAGACATAAAAGGCATGGGTTCGATCCCT